AAAAAACCCCAGCTCTCCCACCCAGCAAAGGGAACAGCTTCAGCTGTCCCAGAGTTCCACTCATGCTGGCTGGCCGGCCAGATGCCTCCTACAAAAGGTAACAAGTCTGTTCTGCCGGTTCCTCCCTTTAATAGATGCACTACACGTGTCCCTCTCCTTCAACTGCCTTTGAGTTTTGTTCACATTACTGGGTAGATAATCTTCAGGACCTTTCTCCCTTCAGTAACGCTGGTTACATTGGACAAGTGATTTAAAAGCTGCTTGAAGAAGAAGAAAAAAAGAGGACGCCTGACTGCATTTGCATAACTTTGTTTCCTAAAAAGCAGAAAGGAGAGGGAGTGGGATAGAGAAGAAAACAAGATAAAAAACACGCATACAGAATTCACCAGATGCACACTGCCCCAGCACGTGGAAGCGACGGACAGCAGGCACAGACTTATACAAAAATTTTATTATTGCACACTGAAAGTTTGATACTTTCACACGAATGTGTAGCTCACTCTCCAGCATATCAGAAGACCAAAAGATTTGCAAACATTGTCTCGTATTAAGACCCCAGAGTTAATGTGAGCTGCCACCTCTGCATTACCTTTGACACCTCAACAGGAACAGCCTCAAGACCTCCTGTAGGAAAACAGCCAGCACCACCAATTCGACTCCATCCTGAGTCAAGTGAGTTTGGATATCCAGCATGTAGTGTCAGTCCTATTATTTTAGCTTCACATAAGTGCTTAGTCTATAGAATCTGACTTTGCATTTGGCTTACGTGTCTTTAAAAATCCTTTTATTGCTTGAAGCACACCTGCCTGTACCCAGAACTGCAGCTTTGGTGTCTTTCCTCCCAGAACAACAAACATGGAGCTGCTCATTAACAGCATACCATGGAACCAGAGCGCTGTCCCTTCCCGCCTTCTACACTGAGATCATCTAAGCCACACCTTACCAGCAGACTCTTCTAAATTCACTATGGGTGGACTCGCTTTAAATACAAGAGACATGATATCACCATGGGCTGCACGTGGCCTTTTTCAATTACCTTCATAACACAAAACTTTTGCTTCTTTATGTTTCTGCCACTGGCAATTTGTTCCACCTTTGTCCATTCTGCGCCCTCTGTGATCCCTCTTTCACTGCAGTTCACGACCTTTTGTGTATAGGAGGAACAAAGGGCAAAGGCTAAAAATGTCATCACAGTTGGGCCTCTGCTCTTCTACTGACTTAACTAGTTTGCTACTAAAAATGAGCTCACGCTCAAAGTCAGACCGAGGCAGAGTTTCTGGGTCATCGGAGTCCAGCAATCCCCAGAAGATGGTTCAGAACCAATGTGGAAGAGGATGCAAGTGTTTCCTTTCATCCAAATTCAAGTCATGTATCTGTAGTGGTGCCTGCATACCACCTACATGGTACTTAGTAGTCATTTGCATTGTATGAAAGAGCAATAGAAAAAAAGAACATCAGGCTAGCCTACTCTTGGCAGGGGTGGGAGGGGAAGGAGGGAGATAGAAAAACACCATCAGCTGCGGCGGGCTGAGCTGTGTGTATTTACATTTCACAAGCTAAACTATTTAGTGGTTTATTTACAGACAATGTTCTTGGAGCAGCTAAAATGCCAGTTGTGTTTTATCTTGATTTTGTGGCAACGCACATAAGCCACAAAATCACAGGAAGAGTCTGCAAATGAGATAGGAACCTTGTACATCTAGAAAGGCACTGTGAGAAGGGAGAAAGACTTGGGAAGCACGGGCACAACAAGGGTTGAAATGCATTAGTTATGACAAGACACCAAAATACAACTCAGGGACTCGAAAGCAATGATTGAGTCACAATACAACAGTTTATGCTGCAGGGATCGCACATCCTGGTATAACTCTCACAGCCAAGTCAACCTACAGCAAAGCATACCAGGGCCTCAGGTCTCTCTGGGCTGCCCCTCCATGTTAGCGTGAGGAGGGAATTGCAGTCAGCTCCATTTTATGCACATTCGATGGCAAGACGCCAACACAACTGTTGACTGAGCCAAATCTGGGCCCCCTTGAACTAAGCCATCACCTAAAACAGGGTGGAAAAGCACATGCCTTTCGCATCTAGAGCAGCCAAGTTCCTGAAAAGCATCAGTTACAAGATAGATTT